GGGGGGGGGGACTAGCTGGAAAACAGTCCCGCAGTGTCTCTCTGCCTCCTCAACACATTGTTTCAGGACCATGTGTCAACACCTCACTGTGTTTATTGGCTCTGGACATATGATGTACTGCTTTTTGCAACTTGAAGTTCACCTTGACAAGGTGTAGCACTGAGAGACGTCTCATCCGCAACACATTTTGAGGAGCTTCGTGTTCTCAGACTCAACTTCTTTGTCGTCTGGTAAGCACACTCAGTTATTTCCCCCCGACTGGTTGCGTTTTGTAGCTTCACAGATGCTACGGAGTAAAGTGCTGCTCTTCAGTAGTTGTTGAATTGTGTGCGACATGGATTAGAAGATTAAAACAATTTTAAAAAACTTGCTGTAATAGATAGTTTGTGGTTATTACGGAGTATATCTCTCTGATGTCTGACAAACTGCGACCAGAAAGCATCCCATTACTGCTCATTAGTTTCCCAATGTTTACCCTGCTGGTATTGACAAATCATAGCAATCAGCAGCATTCAGCTGCAGCACTGACTGACATGTATTGATTAAAGCAAACAATAGATCATAATGGGCTGCTGTGAACCACGGAGCACAAGCACTCACTCCCTGAAAACACTTTTACATGCTCCCCACTAACACGCGCTCAATCATATAACAGTGACTCCTCTGACTGACTTGGTTAGGCAAATGTTGTTTGGCTTATTGGAAAATATGTTCAGTTTGCAGGAGATAGATTGATGGAGTCTGGGGGCGAAGGCTGCATGCGTATAACTGCCAGGAGGATTACACATGTGAAAGCCAAACAAACAATAATTGCCTGATTTTAAATCCCATTTTGTTCCAATTTGTTTTACGGTTTACAAAAGGTGTTATACAAACGCCCATGTGCACTCACGCAAATGTGTGTCTTTGTTTGCAATGCATACAAATCATGTGCTGCACGCACGCACAAAAACAGATGTGTGTCTTTAATTAGTGACGTTGGTGTGATTAATGCAGTCTGCTGGCGATGACTCATTCAGCTTAACCCTTGCTCCTCTGGTGGAAACAATCAATAAACAAAGATGTACGCTGCCTTTACAAGTCATTATAATGCTTATTATCATCATGTTAGTGTATTAACAATACATACTATTATTGTTATTATAATCTTATACTACAAGTACATTTTCTTATTGTTATCACGTGTGTGTGTTTTTCAAAATAATCAAATCAGATGTGACTGCGATGGACCGCAAAGAAAGGCACCAAGAGATGTGATACAAGTCTTGGGTGGTGAATAATAAAATGTGTTTCAGATTCTGTGATTTTTGTGAAACTCGACCTCTTAATTTGTTGTGATCTGGTTTGAGCAGTGGAAGACTATTTATGCAAAGCACATCTACGTGGATCGCTCCATGTGTCCGCTTGTCAACACAGCAGTTATATTAGCATTGTGGAAAAGCTGTCGGCCAAGCTGTGACTTGCAGACAGCAGACTGGAAGGGAGTGTGAGAGAGTGCTAAGTGTGTGTGTGTGTGTGTGTGTGTGTGTGTGTGTGTGTGTGTGT